TCATGATGATAGTAATTTTTTGCCAAAAATTACAAGACAACAGCAGAGAAATAGAGAAGAGAAAAGAGAGAGAGAGAGAGAAGGAACTTGCTATAAATCCAATAGCCACAGGGTGGCAGCAAAGGGCTATTTTGTCTTTTTAAATGACGTCACAACAACAACAACAACAAAATGCAGGTTTGTTTTTCTTGGCAAAAGAATTCTTGGCACAAGAATTATTTTCAAGATGGACTGTAACAACGAAGAAACAGAATCCAAAAAAAAAAAAAAAAGGCTGCTCCGCAATTAAATTTTGTCCTGTCACTTAATTCCACAGTAATTATTTATTTTGATTCTTCACCCTTGGGGAGGTTAGAAAAAAGAGGTCTTTCTCTTCAGCCTCAAACTTTCCAAAAAAGCCTCAATTCCTCTCCCACATATCAGTTGCCGCTGAGAACTCCATGGGGGGGTGGGATTCCTCCCTCCATCAAAGGCGCTTTCCTTTCTTCTTTATGCCAATTAGTAACAGCTGCAGCTTTTTCACGGGTAGTATTGAAGGGAAAAAAAAAAAAAGCTCACTCAGCAGGTCCAATGAACTTCTAGCTATTCTTCTATGCTATTATCCAGTTGTCTATGACTTGCAGGGAGCTGATGTCTCCCCTGTGCTGTTCGGTTGAGAAAAGCCCGAATTTCTTCCAGTAAATGCAGAGCCGCTGCCCCACACCAACCTGAAGACTGCTCGGACAATCTAATCTTTGCCCCAACAGGGCTTGGATGAGCCTCCCACGGATCACTTCCGAACAGATACCGGTGTGATAACGGGAGCCCCCGCTCTTCACAGCCATCTCGTCACAACGCCAACTGGAAGTTCTCACCATTGCTATCACCATCACTGACCCAACATGGGGTTGAATCAAGGTCTTCTGTCCAGGCACGACCAGGACCCAAGCTCCATCAACCACCACTTCTGCAGTCCCTACCAGCCATGAGCACACCACTCACTGGTGAGGACTCTTTGTGCCCAGCTGCTAATGCACATCATCCAGGGAGTCAGATCACAGGCTCCCTGCATATCAAGCTGTTCTGGCTCTCCAGGCTTCTTACTGCAGTTCCCTGATGCTCTGGCTCAGGATCAGAACCTAGCTTCACCACCTGAGGTGAGGGGACATTTTATGGATTTGGTCCTCCACATGGCAGATGACTTGGGCCTCCAGGCATCCCAACCATCCAAGCCTGAGGCTGACCCCTTTTATGCTCTGGCCTCAGGCAACCTGACCCCATCTCCATCCCTTCCTCCCAGCCCTGCTACATACAGTGCATCAATCCTGGAACTCCCCAGCAGTGGCTCTGGCCATGTTTAGGAGGATTGAGTCCACCTACCAGGTGACAGACAAGTTGCTTCCCTTCCTCCATCAGCATCCCAGATCCAACTCCAATATAATGGAGTCAATGCAAGGGACCTCCTAGCAGAACCATTTAACACCAGTGGATAAGGAGGGTCACTGCCGAGACAGCCTAACTAGGAAGCCTCACTCAGCCTCTGCATGTCCAATTACAAGGCCACCATGGCCAGCTATCAGTTTTTCCTTTTGGAAAAGATGGGGTCCATGGCAGAGCACCTACCTGATGACCTCTACAATGCTGCTCACCTCGTCCAGACTGAGGCAGAGAAATTGTCCAGATTCCAAAGTGAAGCAACCAGGCACTATATTGACTGTTGCAATCCATTGCCATGCCTAGCTGCATTCTGTGGGCCTGCACAGAGGACATACCTTTTGACAGGGAAGGACTCTTTAATGCTTGCACAGGCAAGAATATGGACTCTTTCCATAAGACCTGCACCATTGCCAGGCACATAGGGTTCTCACATGAACTGCAGCAGAGTAAGGGGTGGGAGACCCCCTCAGGCTCCACCCACCACCCTTTCCTGGACTGTCTGTTCAGGGTATGACAGTGTCTCTCTCCAAGAGGTGTAATGTCCAGCCCCACCAAAGGCTTCTGCCCAAGTGCCAAGAGAACAGGTGTAGGTGCTGATGTCCAGGTCCAGGCAGCCCCACCTTATTTGTCCTACCACACGCCCAAAGTTTCACCAACCATCTGGCGGTGCTCCTCCCAGCATGGGAGGACATAACCTCTGACTCTGGGTTCTATCTATCACATGGCGGGAATACAGGATAGCGGTTAACCCCCTTCTACCACTAGGACACATCAAGATCCCTCAATTCTCTCTGACACTGATGGTGGAGGGGAAGGCCTTATTGTCCAAGGGAGCAATAAAGACTTCTACTCTCTTTCTTTCACCATACTCAAATGTGATGGAAGCCTCAGGCTGATCCTGAACTTCAGGGGTGTGAACAAATTCATCATTCCTAAAAATTTCAGGATTATTACCTTGCAGAGCATCCTCCCCCTGCTTAGATACGGGAACTGGTTCACCTCCATCAACCTCAAGGATGCCTACTTCCACTTCACGGTCCATCAGGCCTATTGGCGTTTCCTTCATTTTCAGATTCACCAGGAAACTTTCCAATTCTCCAGCCTTGCCACCACCCCCTGCATCTTTATTAAATGCAAGACAGTGGTCTGTGTCCACCTCAGGCTTCAGGGTTTCCAGGTGTTCCTATCCTGGCAGCCCCCTCCAGAGACAACCTCCGGAAGGGATGCACACTGTGTGCAGTCTTCTGCAGGACTTGGGACTCCTCATCAACAATAATAAATCTGTTTTCTCCCCTACACAGTCCATCCTGTTCATAGGGACTCGCCTGGACTCCATTCCCATCAAGGCATTCCTTCCACAACCATGAGCAGAGATACCTTACTGACCACGTCTGTCAGGACTGTACCTCATGTGAGGTCTAGGAGCCTTACATCATCCAGAGGCTCCTAGGCCTCATGGCTGTCACGATGTTGGTGCTGCAACTAGCTCACTTAAGAATGAGGCCCCTCCAGCTCTGTTTCATGGAAGCCTTTGTGCAGACTAAGATCCACACATCACTCCTCTTTCCCTGCCTCTTGGTGTCAGGCAGTCCCCTTGATGGTGGGGCATCATGGACAACCTCACCACCAGAGTTCCCTTCTCCCCACCAGGACCTTCCATCACAGTCATGACAGATGCCTCAAACACAGGCTGGGGTGCACACTGTGACAACATAGAAACACAGAAACAGAGCGAGTCAGAAGGGGTCTCCCGGGCCACCTAGTCTGACCCCCTGCTCCAGCTGGCTCCGCTCACGACATGCCCACCATGTGCTGTCCAACATGTGTGCACAGGGCCTCTGGGACTGGCACAAGTTGCACCTCCACTTCAACCTCCTTGAGATTCTGGCAGTGCACAAGACACCTGTCTCCTTCTAGGTTTCCTTGAAAGGATGCCATGTTCAGATAGCCACAGACAACACCATAGTCATATAGTACCTGAACAGGTAAGGTGGGACTTGGTCTGTCTGTCTGTTGTTGGCATCCATCATCTGGGACTGGGCTTTTAGGTCCTTGCCCAGAGCTTCAAATTCATTTGCGAACCTGCCCACCCCCTGCCTGGCCATGTTGTTTCTCCCTATGTGGATCACCAGAAGTGGCTGGTGACCCCCTGAAGGAAGAAGACACCCCAGTCTGTCTGTCACATGCTGTATGTGTGTGCCTGGCAGCAGACTTCCTTTGTCTCAGGGTCAGGGGGGCATACTGCCACCTCAATACCCCATAGCAGGGAGTCCCCAGTGACAATCACCCGGCACCATCTTTTCCCAGTGGTTGTGGGAAAAGATGGCCATATATTGGCCCTTGCCATTCCTGCAGCACACCCCTGGCTGCATCTGGCTCCAGGCTGGAGTTTCCAAACTGGTTGGTCCCCCAGGTCATCATGACCCCCCCCACCTATTTACCAGCTCTAGGTTGGCCTTCTCCTCCTGTGGGTGACATGCCTCCATGTCTCCCCGGCTGTTTTCCACTTGGCCCCTCCCTCATCCTTCTGCCTGGAAGGGGGCTGCTCCCAGTTGGCCTGGAAAGCTCTCTCGGCCTCCAGTCTCCTCATCTTCTCCTCTAATAGGGACACCAGCTTGTACCTAGTGCAAGTGTATCCCTGCTGCTTTTGAGGGAGAAAGGCAAACATGGCACACCCTTTGCTTTTGAGGGAGAAAGGCAAAGACAGCAACACCTGTGGTTCCTATCATGGCTGCCTCCTGGCCTGACATAGGCCACCCCTCACCTATTTCTCTCAGGCAGAATAGTACAAGAAAAACAGAACAAACAAAACAGCAACAACAATGGCCTAGGGGAAGAGAGTCTCTGGGCAGTCTGCTGCTAATAGCTGAGTGTGGCCTAATAAGCCTCAGAGGCTGCTGGTTCCACCCCCTGTGCTTCCTCCTGGGCCTCTCTGGCCTTGCCTCCCTTTGTCTCCACTGCTCCTGCCCCCTCCCCCTTCCTCCACCCAAGCTCCTACTTTGCCTTCACCAGTTCCCTGGCCAATGTCTCCACACTCTCCCAGATGTTGCTGCCATGACACGATCCAAAAAAAACTTGCAGCTGCTGAGTGCAGGCTAATAAGCCATTCATTAGCTTGTGACAGACATGGAAGGCAACTGAAGCCAGTTCAAACTTTAGGTATTCCAAGCAGTTTTATGCTACAACAAGTTACACATGCAGTAATGTGTAGAGTCAGTCTTCAACCCACTGAAAAGGTGCAACTTCAAATGATGCTGTTAAAATACTCTCTTTGGCTGTTGTTCAAGTACATTGGGGAAAACTCTGGTATGGGGAAAACTCTGTCATACAATAAACATAGTAAGCAATGTCCTATATTGTCTTCATTACGTGGAGCAGGGGCAGAGGGGAGAAATGTTTAGCCCTTCACATATGTTTGGCCTTCAACCACCACCAGCCCAGCATACTTGACCATTGGCCACAGATTATGTAGTTCATGAGGGCCACAGTTTCCTCACACCATTGCAGGGCTTGTGGCTAGAATGGCTGGTTGGTCATGTTGCAGTTGAAAGTTAAAGACCAGCTATGTATTTTCTTTTCTGCAGTTGGTGTTTTTGCATTACTGATGGCAATCCAGATGGCACAGTGGGCCCGGAAGAAGCACCAACTCTACCTGAAGAGGTGTACTATGTATAGTTGGAGAAAAACAGCTTTGATTCCATTTGTACTGTAAACAGAAGAGAGGAGGCTCAAGGCTATCCTCCTTGAAAGTTGAAAGCAAAGTAATTAGGTTCATTCAGCTATGTAAGAGAGTACAGTAGAACAGACCACTCATTTCAAACGTAACCACATCTTTTTTATATTAAAAAGATGGGAGTATCAGGGCCAAGTTCCAAAGAACTAATTCAGGTAAACTATAGCCGAGTGTGAGAGCATGTCTTTACATACAACATGTTACAGATTCATTCTTTAGTATTTCCAGCTCAAAAAGATCTGCGCTGGGAAATACTATTTACTGCCTGAATTTTTAACTGCCCAGAGAATTTTGGCTTTTGGACAGTAAAGAAATGAAATAAATTAAAGGAAATGGAGAAACTACAACCCAGAGTATATGATGCTGGCAAAGCTCTATATCATATTGGTAATTGCTTTTGCAATTATTAATACAAGTTATACAAAGAAGAATGGAATATGATGCATACTTATTTAGGCGCAACTCTCAATGAAGTAAGTGGAATTTACTTTTGATTTGTGCATTGGGTCACACTGCATGTAGCTTTGGTAATTACTGGACCTCAGAACTGCAAATGCATACTAATGGCCTAAAAATTACAATGGGTTGGACAATTACTTTTATTATTTACTTTAATAAAACAATTGAAGCAAAGGCCTTCCTTGAATTGATTAAGAATTTCTTGTTTTCTTGTGGTTATGGGATTAATTGCCTCTTCTGATTAGATAACTTTTCAATAAATGAGTAGGCACTAAAAGTTTTGTCTAAGTAATTAAATGGCAATTAAGATTAAATGTGCTTTTGTTGTTAAGTTATTATGAAATTAGACTTTTTAATTTATATGAATTCAGTCCATAGCTTTCCTGTAGTCCAAGTAAATCATGTTATTGTCCAATGGATTGAGGACTGACTTAACATAGAACAATCAGGTCCCTAGCATTTAGCAATGTTCATTGTTTGCTTTCTTATAAAATGTGTTCTTTAAATTGTATGGATGTTGTTTTAAATAAAAATGCTATTTTTGGAAAACAGCATGGAATTTTCCATGCTCATTCACAACTTCTATAAGCACTATACATATTCTGGACACTGCTTGCTTGAACAGTGCTACAAGTTGCGATGGACCCTCAGTGCAGAGATAAGAGAACTTCTTGAAATAAAATAATATCAAGTATATGACATTTGTACTACATTTATGCATTTCTTTAAATGTGTATTTATTAAAAATTTTCTATACCATCTTATATTTTTAAAAAATCTGGAGATGGTGTACAAAAACATCTTAAAATATAAATTAATATATTTTAATGTATTAAAACATTAAAACTAGGTAACAGTACTTAATTTAAAATACAATAGATAATATATATTTATACAAACTAACATTTAAAAACTTGGTAAATAAAAGCATAGAAACATAGAAATAGAGTGAGTCAGAAGGGGTCTCCTGGGCCATCTAGTCTGACCCCTGGCTCCAGCCAACTCCGCTCATGACATGCTTACTATATGCATGTACCAAAATGAATAAAGTTGGTATTATATTATTAATAAAATGTTATTCTGTTCTTCAGCTAAAAACTTTGCTAAAGTGACTTACCAGTGGTAAAGCACTTTCTCCCCTCTGGCTTTCAATCTGAAGGACTTAGCACAAAAGGAAAAGGGATTGGAATGAGGAAGAAAAGAAGCAATTCAGGAATAACTTTTTAGTTACTAATTTACTTCTTGGAAATCATGGCAATGAAGACAGATGCTAATCTTGTAGGATGAGGCCTCAGCCTTGTTGGGTTTATAAGAAATATGCTAGCATGTTTACTGCTCCTCCATGGAATATAAAGCTCAGGAGGGGCCTGAATGATGGGAGCAGACTGACCTGCTGCCATGAGCTCTTCATGGTTCAAACAGGAAAATGGGAAGAAATAGCTCAGTATCCCAAACATCCTGAAGGTGTCTGTATTGCAGCTGGAAACTGTTGGCCTTATAGTGGGTGACCTCAGCCTTCTGATGCTTGGATGGCATCTGGCAGCATCTCCTCCCTCCTGTCACAGCAAGGAGTGCTCATATCACAAAGGTTGGGTTGCATTGTTCATTTAAAACATGAGAGCTGCTGAAGAGTAGTGGAGATAATAATCTTACACTTACAAGCATTTGTTGACTTGTAGAAATGCTGAACATGTGCCAATCAACCAACCACCAACTGGCTTCTTTTGGAGTACAACCACGGATCCTGATTAGATTTGCTCAAACTTCTGTGGTAAAATTTTAAAAAGCGAACCTTGCGATTGCCCTGCTCTGAAGCAGTGTATAAATAGGCCAACTTGACCTTGTTAAAATATAAAGAAGAAATTTAAAAAATGGAATCCAAGTTTTAGTCAAGCTGCAAAAGGATCATATTCTTATAAAATATCTACCCTGGTGCAGCCTGGCATTGTCATAGATTTTACTCTTTTTACAAAAGCATTCAGAATTATCCCTTACTAGCAGATATGACTGGCAGGAACTGTTCCTGTATACTCACCTCAACAGAGGGATCTACTTTCTGAACCCAACTCAATTTTGACAGACTTGGGGGTTCCTTACTTGTTTCCTCAACAAAGTGGGAAATGGCCACCTATAATGGGCATTTGGCATTCCCAGACAAAGAGAAGTATCAAGAAAGGAGCCACAATTAGCACAGCTATGCCCTTTCAAAAGCAGAGGAAGACCTTTTTATTTTTCCAAGCTTTTTGTCACTTTGATACTTGTGCTACTTGATTTATTGTATTGTTTCACTCTTGATTTTATAATTTTATTCTAATTCTGTTATTTACTCTGGAAAAAAAGATGTTTTGAGAAGTAGGGTACAAATGTTAAAATAGCCTGTAAATGTATGATTAACAGAATGAGCAACTTAAGGTCCATGGGCAAACATTCCATGGGATGGTTCAAAAATCCATTAGAACTTTGGAACTCAGATCCTCCTGCTTTCAGCTCACATAGAATGACACTAACTGAGGTTGGAAAAGTGACCTTGGAGGAAAAGGAAAGGGGTTGTTCCAGTGGGCAAGTTGCAAGGAGACTGAAGAGACCAAGACATGAGATATCCTGAACCTCCTCTACCCTGCTCCGCTTGTATTAAGAAGCACCCTTACTAGATGGGTGAAAATCCTAGTGAAAATTGTGGAAGACACAGGACAGGGAGGTTAAGATCACATCTGCTCCTCTTTCTGCTTTACTACCTTCAGTATGGCAGGGCATAGGAATCTTGGAAATTTGAGGGCTTCTGAGCAACCAGCCTTTCCTAACCAGATACTCTTCTGATGTGGATTTTAGCTCCCGTTAGCTCTAGTCAGCATGGCTAGTGGTCAGAAATCCTGAATGATGTAACTGAAAACATCTAGAGGGTGACAGATTGGGGAAGGAAGCTACGTATACACACTCACTTGGGAAAAAATCAGTGCAGCTTAATATAACCCTTGCTGAGTGTTGATTGAAATGTAAACCAAAGCCCACCCCTGGATGGTTCTGTAAATGGCAGGATCAATGTCTTGTCTATCTTCCCGCTAGTTCCAAAGAAACCTGAATATTTTCAGGACATATATAACAGACACAGGGGGAGTTAGCTTAAAGGGAGAAATAAATTAATATGAGCACATTCTTGTGCATGTTTACACAAAAGAAGTTCCTACAACTCACATGGTTGGCTGAAGAATGCTGGAAGCTGTAGGACATAGAAACATACAAACAGAGCGAGTCAGAAGGGGTCTCCCAGGCCATCTAGTCTGATCCCCAGCTCCAGCCAGCTCTGCTCACAACATGCCCACCATGTGCATGTCCAGGCTATCTTTGAACACCGGCACCAATGGGGCCTCAACGACCTCTCATGGAAGCCCATTCCATTCCCTCAGGGTCATAACTGTCAGGAAGTGCTTCCTGGCATCTAAATGGAACCTTGGTTCCCTGAGCTTTACTCCGTTGGAGCGCGTCCTGCCTTCCTCTGCAGGGGAGAACAGGTCTCTACCCATCTCCATGTGACATCCCCTCACATACCTGTATGTTGCCAACAGATCCCCTCTAAGTCTCCTTTTCTCCAGGCTGAAGAGACCCAGTTCCCTCAGCCTCGCCTCATACAGCATCCCCTGCAAACTGTCCACCAACCTTGTGGCCCTATGCTGCACTGCCTCTAATCTGACTATATCCTTTCTGTAATGAGGGGCCCAAAACTGAATACTCTAGAAGCCACACTTCTGGCTATGCAACCAAGGGTGGCATTCGCCCTCTTGACTACTGCATCACACTGCTGACTCATGTTCAGCCTGCAGTCAACCAGTACATGCACAGGATTGCACATGCTGTTTTTTTAAAAAGTATAAAAACTGGTAGCCTCTAGGCGTCACTCTTTGAACATAAATTATTAGAGAATATACATGTACTGGAAAATCTTTTGAGATTTAAAGTGAAGATAAGAACCTGATTAAATTATAGGAAAATTTCCCCCCTGAAGTATTGATAATGCATAACATTAATGTAATAAATATGTATGCAAAATAAATTGGTTGTTGTTTTTGTTGCTAGTTGCAAAGTCGTGTCCGACCCTTCATGACCCCATGGACAACATTCCTCCAGGCTTTTCTGTCCTCCACCATACCTCGGAGTCCACTTAAGCTCATGCCGACTGCTTCAGTGACTCCATCTAGCCACCTCATTCTCTGCTGTCCCCTTATTCTTTTGCCATCTATTGTTCCCAGCATTAGGTTCTTCTTCAGTGAGTCCTTCCTTCTCATTAGGTGGCCAAAGTGTTTGAGTTTCATCTTCAGGATCTGGCCTTCTAAAGAGCAGTCAGGGTTCATCTCCTTTAGGACTGACTGGTTTGATTGCCTTGCGGTTCAAGGGACTCGCGGGAGTCTCCCCCAGCACCACAATTCAAAGGCCTCAATCCTCTGGCATGCAGCCTTCCTTATGGTCCAGCTTTCACAGCCATACATTGCAACTGGGAAAACCATAGCCTTGACTATACGCACCTTTGTTGGCAGGGTGATGTCTCTGCTTTTTAGTATGCTGTCTAGATTTGCTATAGCTTTCCTCCCCAGGAGCAAGCATCTCTTAATTTCTTGGCTGCAGTCCCCATCTGTGGTGATCTTGGAGCCCAGGAAAGTAAAATCTGTCACTACCTCCATTTCTTCCCCATCTATTTGCCACGAACTGATAGGACCAGATGCCATGATCTTAGTTTTCTTAATGTTGAACTTTTGCGCTCTCCTCCTTCACTTTGCACTCACCAAGTTCCTCTTCACTTTCTGCCATTAGAGTGGTATCATCTGCATATCTGAGGTTGTTGATATTTCTCCTGGCACTGGAGTCACTGAAGCAGTTGGTGTGAGCTTAAGTGGACTTCGGGGGATGGTGGAGGACAGGAAGGCCTGGAGAAATGTTGTCCATGGGGTTGCAATGGGTCAGACACGACTTCACGACTAACAACAACAACTTTGCAAAGCCAAGTCTGTACCACATATTTGGTGGTGGTACCTCATGTATGTTGCTGCTTTCTCTCCATTTGGTACTAGTTAGGTCCCATCTTGAGTACTGTGTCTAGTTCTTGGTTCCACACTTTAAGAAAGATTCAGATAAACTGGAAAGGGTTCAGAGAAGAGCATCAAAGATAATTGGGACTGGAAACAAAGTCCTGTGAGGAGGGACTGATAGAACTGGGCATGTTTAGCCTTGGGAAGAGGAGACTGAGGGGAGATATGTAAGCACTTGTAGAATACCTGAAAGGCTGTCTCAAAGAAGACTAGGATCATGCCAGAATGCAGGACATAGTATAATAGGCTCAATAGGATTGCACTGAAAGCATTGCACTACTGGCTAAGACTGTTTGTAGTGATGGAAGCAATGAGGCAGGGTGTGGTTTTACATCCCCCTTCTCCCTTACTGCATCACACTGGTGGAGAATGCAGGCAGGACACAGGGAATGGAACAGCAGTGCCTGCTCCAGAAGTTAGCCTCCCAACAAACACAGTTAATGGAGCAGGTGCTTAATGCTCAACTGCAGAATCAGAGCATGTTAATGCAGCAAATGGTGGGGGGTTTATGCCCATCCCAGTTGGAGACTGAAGGCAGCACCTCCACAGAGGTATGCAGGAGAGGGGAAGCCCCTGTGTGCATATTGAAGATGACTCCAGAGGACAATCCCAAACCCTTTTGAGAGGACGTCCCTCACCACTAAGTGACCAAAGAATGGGGAAGGCTTTGTTTGGAGGTGGGGACCAGGAAGGGGGTCTGATTCCTTAAACCGGGGGAGTAGGTAGATGATTGGATAGAATGACATGGGCGGATATGCCAGCCTGGGCCAATTAATAGGGATCAAGGGGTCTAGCCCCTTGGGCAGGATGTGGCAGCTCCCCCACCCCCTCAGGTAAAGGCCAGAAGACCCAAAGGGGCAGGGGCCAGGCCCTTTGTTTGCTTTACACAGGGAAAGAAGGGCACATAAGATGAGAGTGCCCCCTCATGGAAAGCAATTATGTGGAGGTTTGACTATCAGCCCAGGTAGATTTTCTGCCCAAATGGGCCTGGTGGGTGAAGGACCAAAGGAATGGCAGGGAGGTTGAAGGGCTTAGTCGCACTCTAGTACAAGAAGCAGGTGGTAGTCCCCTGAATGAGATACTGCAGGGGCAATGCATTCATGGGGGTGTCAAACCCTAACCTTATGCCACCTGATGGGCAAAAGTGGAGGTGCAAGGGCAAATGTTGTTTTGTAAAGTGGGAATTGTTCCTAGTCTGGTCTATGGACAAATAATAGGGTGGAACTGGCTTCACTTTGAGGTGTTTGTGAGGAAGGTCTCTTAAGGGGAGGCTATGGTTGGGGAGGACGACGATATTGGGCTCCTGCCACTGTAGGTATCAAGAGCCCAGTTTATTTATTTATTTTTTTACAACAGAATGATTACTCTCTAGGCCAAGTCCTGTGCTGATTCAGAGATGGGCCAAAGGAGAGGCCAGGGACCTTATTTTGAGATAGCTGGAGATTTATTGTAACTTTCAAAGTCCCCGATTTCATATCCTGAAGAGAAGAATTTGAATGTGAACCCTATATACTACCTGATGAGCTTCAACATTTCCAGGCTTAATGATTGCTATTTTTGCTCAATTGTTTTTAACTTGTGTACTTAGTAAAAATAGTCACATAGAGATTTTTAAATATTTAAAGATCCAGAATAACAGAATGTTCCTCTCAACAAAATTACTGTGTCTGCTACAGCAGCTGCAATTTCATTACACAGGAAATTCCATGTTCACTATTTTTTAAAAAATAGCATCTGGGCAACTTACATTTTCATTATAATTAATGATTTTTAAGCCATTAGAAGAGTAGAAGCAATATATTATAAGAAAGTGCTGTAGGCTGTGATCTTTTTCAAGGTTCATTTTAAAACTGAGGAATTAAACTTCCAAATGGTTTGGGATGGAGCAATCTGAACAGGTAGGTTCCTTTGCATGCCTTTTGAGATGCAGAAGATGGGGACATAAGATTGAGTTTTCTTGCTTGCAGCACCTGGATTGTGGAAGGAACAGTTAGTTTAGCAAACTCCCTTACCCATCATGACTGGTTATGCAAGGTACTGAGGAGGTGCGCCCCAGGTCCTGGAGACTGTGAGTTCCTCTTTAAGAGAGGGAGTAGTCCCAGCCTCATTGAAAGGGGCCATTATTAGACCACTCCTGAAGAAGGCCAACTTGGACCCAGAGGATGTGAACCAGCTGCTAATATTCCCCTCCTGGGCAAGGAGTTTCAGTGGGTGGTGGCTGGCCAGCTCCAGATACTCTTGGATGAAACAGACCATCTTGATCCATTTCGATCAGGATTCAGGATGGAAACTGCATTGGTGCTCTATGGGATGACCTGTGCTGGGAGAGAGACAGGGTGAGTGCAACCCTATTGGTTCTCCTGGACCTCTCAGCAGGTTTCAGTATCATTGACCATGGTATCCTTCTGGACAGGTTAGTTAAATTGGGAGCAGGGGTCACTGCTTTGCAGTGATTCCACTCCTACTTGACTTGGCCATGTCCAGAAGGTAGTGTTGGGGGATTATTGCTCTGCACCATGGTATTTATGCTATGGAGTTCTGCAGGGCTCTATTTAATCCCCCATGCTCTTTAACATCTACATGAAATGGCTGGGTGAGGTTATCAGACAGTGTGGGCTGAGTTGTCATTAGTATGCTGATGAAACTCAGCTTTACCTTTCTTTTTTATCAGGTGCAGGTGCGGCAGTGGATGCTCTGAATAGAGGTCTGGCTTTGTTAATGGATTGGATGAGGGCTAATAAACTGAAACTTAATCCAGATAAGATGGAGATACTGTTGGTGGTGAGTGTGTCTGTTCAGATGGGTGACATCTTGCCTGTTCTGGATGGGGTCACCCTCCCCCAAAAGGACATTTGCAGCTTGGGGTTGCTCCTGGACCCAGAATTATCCCTGGAATTCCAGGTGGATTTGGTGGTCAGGAGCGCTGGACAGACAGGACCTGGCAACAATTATCCATGCACTGGTAACCTCTTGCCTTGATTATTGTAATGTGCACTATGTGGGGATTTCCTTGAAGATGATCTGGAAACTTCAATTGGTGCAGAATAGGGTAGCTAGACTGTTAATGAGGACTGGAAGATATGATCAGATAAAGCCAGTCCTCTACCATCTCCACTGGCTCCCCATTGAAGTCTGGGTCCACTAGCGCTTAAAGTCCTAAATGACTTGTGGCCAGGGTATCTAAAGAAGCACCTCTTCCCATACAAACCTACCTGGCACCTTTGATCTGCATCTGAGGCCCTTCTGAGGGAGCCCTTGCCTCAGAAAATAAGGAGGGTAGTGACAAGAAGAAGGCCTTTTCTGGAGCAACACTCAGATTTTGGAAAGAGCTCACCAGAGCGGTTCACTTAGAGCCCTTGCTATGTTCTTTTTGCTGCCAGGCTAAGACCTTTTTATTTCAACTGCATTTTAATTTTTTTATAAAGATTTTTATTTTAAAAAATTTTAAACCAAAAAACTAAAAACATCAATCATCAACTACATCGGATGTACTGGGTCACCCCCCTATAACATATCTTTTTAACATTCTGTAATCATATTAAATCAATTTATGAAAATTTAAAAACATCTTTAAATCTAAGCCAAGTCCTGTTTCTCCAGCCAATCATAAAAAAGGTCCCAAGTTTGATAGAAGACAGTATCTTCTTTCTCTTTCAGTAATAGAGTCAATCTGTCCATTTCTGCACAGTCCAGAATCTTTTTTAAAATCAGTTCCTCAGTGGGTAATTCCTCACTTTTCCAGTGTTGAGCGAATGCAATCCTCGCCGCTGTGATTAAATGCAGCATCAAATACATTTCTTATTTGCTAATATTTTCTGGTATAATGCCTAACAAGAAAATTTCAGGTTTAAAAGCTAAGAGTTTTTGTAGCATTTCCTCAAGCCATTTATGTATTTTAATCCAATACTTTTTCACACATTCATAGGTCCACCACATATGGTAAAAAGTACCCACATCATGTTTATACTTCCAACATCCATTTGACATATTTGGAAACAGCTAATCGACTTGGTGACAAATACCATCTATAAAACATTTTATATAAATTTTCTTTATACGAAGTTGCCAGAAGGGAGTGCTGTGTCCCAAGTGTAGAGCATTCGGGAGGATCCTAGATTAGCTAACTGGAGTTGTTTACCCCAGTGTTGGCTCAGGGGCCAGGTGCTGGGCATAAGTGGAATGGAGGTTTGTGAACCAAATGTACTCAATTACTCCATTAAGATACCTAGCTTTGGGGATAAAACCAGAGGGTTGAGGACCTATGTTTGGATGCTGTGTGATTGATGGCCTGGGGTCTCTCTTGCTGCCCAACTGGGGCTCCTGGCAGCTGAAGGGGAGAAGATACTCTTGTACACTATAAATGCTATTTTGTTTGCCTGCAGATACTATCATTGTTTAAATAAAGCATTGCTTTTCCTTCACCTACCGGTGTGTTCTTTGCCTCCAAATCCGAAAGAGCCCCTGCCTTTGGCAGAACATGGACTATACCTTTTATGAAGTTATTAGTTTTGTCAGTGGTGTGCTACCCCATGGGGCTATTTTAATTTAAGTATATGTCCTTTGGGTGGCTGTCACCTTTCAGCAGCTTATGGACAAAGCTTTGGGACACTTGTCCCATTGTGTGGCTGCCTATATCAACAATATTGTGGTATTGAGTAGCACTTGGGAGAAACACCTAGATCACCTCCAGCAAGTATTAACTGCTTTAACACTAGAGGGCTTGACAGCTAACCTGAGTAAATGCAATATAGGTCACCCAGCAGTCCAGTACTTGGGGTACAGTGTAGGGTGAGGCCAAACACGGTTCCTGTCAGATAAAGTTGAAAAGTTAAACTAATGGCCATGGCCTTGCACAAAACAGGTGATACAACAGTTCCTTGGGCTTGCCAGTTACTACCGGTGATTCATTCCCCATTTTTTCTCCAAAGTGGCCCCTCTAGCAGGTGCAATTAAAAAAGAAATAGAAACATGCACTAGAATGGTCTAGGGAAATGGAGCAGGCCTTTCAGGATCTGCAAACCTGCCTCCTCAGTCAACCTGTTTTGCAGTCTCCAGATTTCTCCTGGGATTTTATTCTACAGACTGACCCCTCAACTGTGGACTTGGGGGCCATTCTGACCCAGGGGGAAGGGACGGCTGAGCACCTGGTGCTCTACTTAAGCAGCAAGCTGGAGCTGTGAGGGCATCAATATTCCACTATTGAGAGGAAGCCTCTGGCCATCAAAAGGGCTGTCCTAGTGCTGAGACACTATCTCTGGGGCACCCCATTTACGTTGGTCACTGACCATGCTCCACTAAAAGGGTTGAATAGAATGAAAGACAGCAATTCACAGCTACCATGTTGGTATTTAGCATTACAGCAAAATGCCTTCACAGTCCAACATAGGCACAGTAACCAACATGCTAATGCCAATTTCTTTTCCCAACAGGGTCCCTGGCCTGTGCATGAAGATGGTGAACCCCTCTTGGAGGGAGGATATGTCAGGAGGTGGAGGAGCTCACTTATCTTCCCATGGCAGCCACCAGTGAGTTGCCAGAGATTAGGGGCATGGCCGGGAATCTGCTTGGGAGGAACAAGGCATGTGACTCTCTTTGTGGGAATGTGCGGGTACATGCACAGCTGCGCGGGATTGGCAGCCAGAGCAAGGAAACCCGCACTGGGGAAGGGAGAATAAAGGCAGGGTCAAGACTAACAGGAGGTGATGTTGGACAGAGGAGGGGAGAGTGAATGAGAGCGCAGAGGAGGGAAGGAAAGGACGAGGTGATGCGCAAAAAAAGCTGGAAGTGGCTGGTGTTGCTGCAGTGTGCAGACAGCCAGACAGGAGCAGCAAGGGTAGACCCTGTGCCCAAGGATGCAGCTCTTTGCCTTAGAACCAGGGCTTTGGCATTTCCGGCCACAACAGAAGCAGTAAACCACAAATAAAAGAACCTGCTTGGTGAGCTTATTTCCTTGCGAGTTTTACATGGAACAAGGCGCCTTCAATATGCACCTCCCTCCTTATCCTGTTAAAGCAGAACATAAAATGCACTATAAAAGATTAAAAATTTAAAGCTACAGTATATAATTGAAGAACTGATGTGAAACCTAGCAGCATACAAATACATAAAATACATTGAAGGATTTAAACAAATGCTGAAAGATTAAAATTTCCAGAAAAATTAAAAAAGGTCTCAGAAAGAATACAATGCAAGTGCTTACAGCAACTCCCCTAGTGTCAGTCATACCCCTTTTTGGCCAATTTAAATATTTTAAATTTTAAATATCACCCCATCAATTTTCCTCCACCTTGCCTCCCTTCACTGTGCCAGCAGTTGTAGACTTTTTACAAGAACTGCATTCTGCATATGCTCCCTTCAAATTAAAATTGGACTGGGATAAGACTGCTTATGAAGGAGTTTCAGACTCACATAATCAGAAAGGAGTGGCTTTGCATGTGGAAGATTGGGTTTGGTTGTCAACTGAATTTCTGCTCTCTTCTGCTCCTTCTGCTGGCCCCTCTGCTGGCCCCTCTCAAATTGTGGTTCAGGTTAATCCTGTGACTTTTCAACTGCTACTGCCCCCCTTGTTGAAGGTGTACCTTTCCTTCTTGTCCCTGTTACTCCCAGCCACCTTCTGTCTCTGCCTCTGTCTCCTGTCCTGGCCGGTGGGGTGGGAGGAAGTATTTGAAGTTCCAAACATTTTGAACTCATGCTTCCATCATGGCCATTTGCAAAATTTAGTTGACTGTGAGGGGTTTGGACCTGAGGAGCAGAGTTGGGAGCCTGTGGATAATCTCCATGCCCCATCCTTGGTCAAAACTTTTCATTCCTGGTTTCCTTGAAAACCCAGGGGGAAAACAGCCCTTGCCCTGGGGCAAGGAGGGGGCCTACAGGGGAAGGATGTCATGCACATGCATCCTGTCAGACCTCAGGTGCATTCACAGGAGACTCCCCATGCCAGTTGTACTGATGATTCAGATTCTGATTTTGAGGATGGGAGTTTTTGCAATAGTGTAGCCTCAGGCTGTGATTCAAGGTCTTAGGACCCAACAGGAGGCAATAGTGAGAGATTAGCTCAAGAGCAGATGGGGAGACAGATCAACTCAACCCTGGAAACATTGAGGAGGGAATGGGGATCCATGGGAAGGGATGTTGACTGTTGTATGGCGCGATTTTACGGACGAGACCAGAGACTGGTTGGAATTATCGAAAGAGATTTATTTTACCTGCAGCAGGGACCATCACTCATGGGAGTGTGGTAGCAAGCAGAGGGGAGACATTTGATTTTTATACTCTTTTACACTTATGCTTGAATGACAGCGAACAATAGGGGAACAACAGAGAAACAATGGGGGAACAACAGAGAAACAATAGGGGAGAGCACATTTTGCACATTTATCATGCAAAAGCAAGCAAGCGTGGGTACAAGGGCATAATGTCTGCGGTAATGCTGGTAATGCTGGAGCGAAGCCTGCTTTGTTGTCAGCTTAGCATAGCATGCACATCCGTGTTCGTGTTCTTGTTCTTGTTGAACAAGAACACTCTGACCATGCCTTTTACTCGTGATGAGCCATGCCCTGGCTACATGCTTGATCATGCTTGATCATGAGGGGGTTTACAACATTCCCTACTGGTCTTTTGGGGAGTCGAATCATCGAGTCCGCGGACCGTTAGTGGGCGGAGCTTATAAACATTGTTCTGCCTCAGATGAGATCTGACATGAAATGCCAATACTTTCGTGGCGTTCATACTCTGCTGGACAAGGCGGGTGATTCAACTGAGCAGCAGGGGCCCGAAGATAAGGAAAAACAGTAACCCTAAAATGGGTCCAACAAGGGACGAGAGTAGACTTGTCAGCCAGGGGGACCAGTTGAAAAGGCGCTGATACCAGTTGGAACCTTCCTGGCGGTGCCTTTCTTGGTCCTTTAGGCAGGCTTTTACTAGGTCTAGACTGTTACGGATGACACCTGAATGATTTACATAAAAGCAGCATTTTTTGTCCAAGGCAGCACATAGGCCGCCTTGTTTTAGCAAAAGTAAATCTAGTCCTCTCCTGTTTTGGAGGGCTACCTCCGCGAGAGAGTCAAGGGATCGTTCCAAGAATTTAATGGAGCCGTGAAGCTCCTGCAAGTTTTTATCAACTTGTTCAGAGAGGTGGAATATATCTTGGCTGCCTTTCATCCAGGCGCCAGCCCCGACTGC